TATATATGTTTATAACTGAAATGTAGTGATATATAAACAGTAATATCTAATCAAGACTGTTAAGTTTCCTGCACACACTTTTTCACTTTATGCACAAATATAACCTTTTGGGTTTTTTTTCTTTGAGGTACTTAAATTACTGCTGTTTAAATGTTACTATAATCTAGTAGAAAACACTCTAGAGCTGCTCAGGTATAGCAAAAAAATTTTTTTTTATGTATAGATATAGTAATGTGTGAAAGTCTTGAGCCAGCCCTCATTATTTTATATTTTGCATGCACTGAGTCAGACATTTCTGTAAAAATTTAAAGTGGTCTCGAGCAATAGTTCTCCAGGAGATTGACTTCCTTTTCACTCATTTTCAGTCCAACGTGGTCAGTACCTGACTATGTTGAGAGGATTTCATTAAGCCACTTAACCTCAATTTCAATAAATTTGAAATTGGAACTGAGAATCCCTCCAAATTATGGAGATAGAAACATATGGTCAGATTTTCCAGTACCATCTGGGAAGTATTGGAATGGCAATAGCTTAATTTTTCAGCATGACAATAATTCCAAACATACTGTCAGTGCAGTAAAACCATACCTGGATAGAAAAGACACAGTGGAATATTATCAGTCCTGCACTGGCATCCCCAGAGACCTCAACATTACTGAAGCAGTGTAGGATGACTGACAGAAGACAGAACAAAAAGGCAGTCACCATCCAAAGAAGAGCTTTGAATGTCCTTCAAGACGCCTGGAGAACTATTCCTGAAGATCACCTAAAGAAATTACAAGAAACCATGCCTAAGAGACTTCAGGCTGTCCTGAAGAATAAAGGTGGTCATACCAAATTTTAGAATTTTAAACTCTTTTTACCTCATACACTGTATTTCTATGTATTTTTGCACAATGTTCAATAAACTGCCGCACCTTTTCCCATTTTCCTAACAAAGAATAAAGAAATGGAGAGTGGCCCAAGACTTTTCCACGGTGCTATATGTTTTCATAATCTTTTCATCTACTATACACAGCACAGTAAGTCCAACATTTTTTCAGGTGTACTGTGAGATAAATCAATGACATACACAACCTTGCACAGCCTTATTATCTAATGGCCCAGGCTGATTGGAGAATTGCAACTCTCAGGTCATGCAGGCCTAAAGACCGATCAATGTTGCCCTGATAACTGCCGGTCCTTAGAGAAATACATGCATTCCCCGACGGCTTAGCTTGCTGGTCCCACAGAGGGCGCTGCACTAAAAACCTCCTTGTGATTTCTTTGGAGGCCAGCAGATTAGCACGGCCACCTTCAGTTTTCATGGAAGACTCCAATTCGTCTGTAAACACTCACTAACTTATCATAGAGCACCAGTGAGATGCAACCCGGAAACAGCATCCGTTCCCCTTCAAAGTAAAAGTTGCAACTTTTGAAACATGTTGGTTTTGGTGGTAAGGCACAAATTCTACACTGAAGGTGAAGCTTCTCTGTTTCCAGTTTGCAGTAAATATACATATAGGAAAATGAACACACGTGAAAATGGCAGGGAAGCTCAGCTAACCATATTAAACAGCTACACTGACATCAGGGAATTGTCTAATTATTATGGAAGTGGCTATTTCTATAAATACAGTTGCTGTTTACAGGTGACATCTGCAACAACAATAAATAACAAAACATGAGGTATACTCAAACCAACAAGCCCACAACTCGTGTTTTTTATAGCGTCTCAGTTTGTATACGGTTTATTTGTCCTAATAACAAGGTTCACTGAACCATAATCCTATTATATTTGCACTGCAAAGCTTTAACACAGTTTCTGATATTGTACAGTCATCTGTGCTTTTACTGGCAATTATTGAGAAGATAAAAACTTGCTGTATTATCTATGCATTTTAAATTATTTTAAAAACTCTCCATCATTATCCTATAAAAGAAAAAATACTGTATGTTAAGACTGGATGCCATTCAGAGTAAGAGCGCTCTGGCGACTGGAGCTGGTTGTGTCTCCCTGGAAATGTATGTGCGTCAGTGAGAGAATGTGGGCCTTCCCTCAAATAGATTTCAGAGCACATGTTTCTGCTTTAGAATCTGTCTCTCTCCCGCCTTTCCCCTCCTGTTTGACACAGATACTTTATATGGTGAAGAGATTATGAAAATGATTTGAACAAGAGAGCAACCTTAATCGTGATATAAAGTAGTGAAATTAGCCTCGGGTGAAACAATGTGCAAATATTTCAGTAAACCCATATTGCTGCTATGCAACTGAAAAAGCAAACACCGCCATAAAAAAAATAAATAAAATAAATGTAAATATTACGCTGCTTATCGACATACTTATGGTTGTTGTCATGTTGCACACAGCAAGTGTTTGTCAGCTGCATGCAACCCAACAAACAAAATACTATTCCCCAAAATCCCCCATCCCACTGAGACCCTGGCTAAAAGACAAACAACTCCTGTCAAAACACAAGGCCTCTGTGTGGAGCTGATCCAGAAGGATCATAATGGATGTTAAAATCATCAAATATTATAAACTCCTTTGTATGGACAGCAGAAACCAACAGGCTTTAATGTAGTGGTGCATCAGCAGGAGAATTAATCCCATTCACTTTAGAGAAAAAAAAATACTGAAATAAAGCCATGGAGCTGAGCCAATGCTATTTCCCAGCTTCCTGTTCAGCAGAGTGCCTGTCTTGCCTCTGGCTTGGCAGGCTGCACCAGCCTGCTTCATAAATACTGCACAACCAACGCTTGATGAAAACGCCCGCTTCTCTCAGGTACAACTGCACTCTGGAGAGCTTCATTTTCTACAGTATGGATAAACTGTGAGCATCTGTGTTAAAGAGAGGCTCTGAGATAAAGGCCGCAACCTCAAAAATGTGCTTGATTTTTAATATAACCTCATTTTGCTTCTGGAAATTTACCTATGTAATGTGTGTGGCTAAAACAAAAAACCCAGTGCTAACCCCAGGTGGCCCTCCGGTGACCTGGTGGAAGTTTAAGAGGTTTAAGAGCAATCCAATTGCTTTGAATTTCTTTCTCTTTTTGTGGCGTACATCTGTGTCCGTGCGTCGGTCCTACAGATTACACCCAGTGAGAAAAGGTTAAAAGAGGACGCGCTGTCCTCAGCATCTGGTCAGTTAAAAAAATTTTCATTGTTTTTTTTTTAACTCTCAGAATTCAATTTGTCACTATTCCTGTTCCAAACATGGTGACCAGAATGGGTAATGGAGCTCTTCTAATAGTACAGATAGTCCACTAACTCACTGTTCCCTAGATACCAATTAGCAGTGAACATCCCAGCATCACGAGTCAGACAGCTGATGTGGGAACAGCTTGACGTGAGAGAATGAAACTTGTGTGTTGGGACAATGTGGGTGAGTCCAGATTAGTAAACTGTGAAAGGTGTATTCCCTTTGCTATTTTGGGGCACTTGGTGGCTCACCATCACCCACACTGAGTTCATCTCAGGTAAACACAAATTTTAGGCTTCTGTGAGACAAAATGTATCTATGGCAATTCAGTCTAACATGGATATATAGCTAATTATAATAATGTTTCATAATGCAAAAGTCAGGAAGGAAACATTCTTTTTAACAGGGCATTAATGAATGTTTTGATTCTCATTAAAAACATCAAACAGTCTAAGTAAAATCCAAAATTACAGAAAACAGCACCTGTATATTTTTCTCCAGAAAGCAATATGAGGTACGCTCCCTCTTCCACAGGACAAATATAAATAATAGAAAGCTACAAAGTGTGTACAAAGTACCAAGGTTTTTGTGTAGACGTACAGAAAGCACCATCATCCACTGTGATTACACCATAAACCAAGCATTTAACTGCTACTGTTAAGCTTTTCTTTCTCTGCCATGTTTCCTTTCTCTCTCTATTCTCAAAATCTACAAATGAGATCAGGGTAAAGTTGAAGAAAAAGAGCAGCGTAATCAGGATTATGCTGCTTCTAGCTAAGCCATACACGGGTGACTGTGACACAAGCTCACCCACTCGGGATGATCACCGAATCCCCACTGTGAAAACACCAGCATGCCTCCCTATTACTATGCACCATGTGGTGACACTTTCAGTTGAAAATGAGTGGCTTCATATAACATTCATTTTATCTCAGCTTGCCGGTGTAGGACATAAGAACCAAAAAGAAGGAGGGGGGCAAAGACGGGCGAAGAACATTCAAACAAGGTAGCATCCATGAGTGTGAAGGGATGGATGTTTGGAGGTTGGAGCACTGTTCTAAGAAGAAGGCACCATCTGTGATATATTAAAAACTTAACATTACTCAACAAGTATTTTTTAAGTCACATTAAGTTTTAATCACATTAAGTCACATTATTTTTTATGTATGTTTTATTAAAATTTCCCGGTTTTAGTATATATATATATATATATATAATCACAAGCTGTGAGCCATTATTCACAATCCCTTATGCTGCCATAAAGATAATATGTGTAAAAAGTCTGACACGGCACCACGGGCCTGCAAGCTGGAGAAGCAGAGGCTTGCAAAAATATTTACATGTGACTTCACACCTATACACGCGAATACAGACACACACACACAGGCACGCGGTAACTTGGCGTGATAAATACACCATCCATTTCCTTATCAGCAGCCCCAAACAGAGCACAGCACAACTATGATGACCAAATGAACAACGTCAGAGTAGGCTCAAGGTAAACATCGGTGTTTAAAGGGATGTACAGGATCGTGAAATTCAAAAGACCAAAGCACCAAAATACTACATTAACAAGCATCTTGGGAAAACACAGATGTGGCCCTGCATGGAGCAAACAGGTCATCAAAACAAGTCTTATTATAGTGTCTTCGGCCTATTCCGTTTTGGCCCAATGTTAAAAAAAATGCACGTAAAGCTCTCACACATGCCATCAGAGAAAGAGGGGGACTCGAAAGTATTACATGCCAGTGGTTGAAAGTTCCTAAGCAAATCAGTAACAAAACATCCAGTAAGGTCCGGTCCAAAGTTGCATCTTACCTGGTCCCGCGGAATGCAAGGCAGCGAAGTCCTGCGGTGGGACTTGCTGTTGCTCTGACTGTGAGCCATCATTTCCGAGGCCGCTATGGAGCTGGACCTCCGTCTCCTTTTGAAGACAGGGATGTCCTCCTCCTTCGCCCCGGTCACAGAGCCACAGCACCCCGTCCCGCTGGTCCCTGAGGCCGGCAAGAGCCGGTCAGCATACCTCGCAAGCAAAACCCCCAGCAGCCCCAGCAGGTAGGCCAGGTAGGGTCTCCAACTGGCCCGGACTCGACTCAGGGAGACAAGTGAGACGGTCCTGATGACGCTAATGAAGACGAGGATGGACACTCCCTGACCCAGCCGGACGACCAGCAGAGCCCCGCTGCCTAGGCAGCCGAGGACTACCAGGGTTGCGGAGAAGGACAGCAGCTGCTCCTCGGCGCCGCACAGGAGGGAATGCGCCGCGGCTTCGCCCAAGTGGCACACCGCTAATAGAAACAGCGCGGTGCGGATGAGTACTCCGCAGCGAATCAGATACAGCCCTACCCAGAAGAAGGCACATACGAGTGTAAAAGCGGGGGAGACGCAGTAACACACGCTCAAAAGCAGCTCGACAGCGCAGCCCGCCGCGAAATGAAGACGAGGGTCGGATCCGCTGCTATTTCCGTTGGTCCTGCTGCCTGCATCCCAGTCGACCAATCTGAGCAGCAGAGCGAGAGTAACGGAGATGGAGGCAACGCAGACCGCAGACGACACTCCTCGGCAAGTCCATGTCACGGCGAGTCTGAGCCACGACGACTGGCACCCTGCGTCCTGGAACAGCGGGGTGACACATGTCTTCACGTAGCCGTTGCGCTCCAACGCCGCCCGGGGATATTTTTCAGGAGCGCTCCTTGATGAACCTCCGTCTGCCTCCAAGGCCATCGTTATCAGTCAAGCGGCATAAAAGAGATAGATTTAGTCCCTGTGTGGGTGTTTTAGTTTGCACATACCACCAATAACTCTTTTTATTTTATTGTATTTCTGTGCACCAAAACTCAGGACCACCCCAACTCTAAAGTTTGCATATTATTTAAAAAGCGCAAAACTGAGAGGTCTACACAACTTTTCATTTAGTTTGGTGCTTCAGGACGTCCCTGTTATATTTGTTCCACTATTGGGTTGACTGTGTTAGTCAAGCAGTGAACCAAAAAAAGAAAGAAAAAAAGGCAACCCCTGGCGTTTCACACATCTAGGCCACTACCCCAACTCCTCTACATGGTTTTTCTCTCTCCTTTCCCTCAACCTCTCCTCGTCTCTCTCTCTCTCCCCTCCCACTAGAAATTATCCCCCTTTTTCCTTTTTTTTTTTTTTGCCGCTCCGGTGATTCCTCCATCACGTTTTGGCTCTTCCCCTCCTCCGTGTGTTTCTGCTGTTCATTCTGCAGGCTGCGGTCTCGCCCTGGATGTGACTCAGTTCGCAGTGGATGGATGCCATGTTTATACGAAGATTTCCTGGCTTGTTCGGGAAGATGGAGCGGGTCATTACGAGAATTGACTATAACAATCCTGTTATACATTTTAGAAGTGCTGTGCACTGTAAATATGACAGAACACCAAAACGTGGATGTCGTGCTATGCACACTGGTACCATGCAGCTTTAAACAATATCATTCATCAAGCTTTCAATCTTTCATGACTTAATTATTTATTTACCTTCGCTTTCATTGCTGTGCGCACTGTGTACCTCTAAAAACACGCAGTGAAATGAAAAGCACAGTCCAAAAAAAGAGAAAATGCTTTCCTCTGTTAGTAATCTTGCGACCCATGTTTTTTTTTCTTTTTTTTTTTCCGGATTAAAATCCTAAATCACATCATCCTGTGCCTCCTGTGTGGCAGACCGGGACAGGGCAAGTTAGCGGCCTTCACCTGTTTGGCCTACATTTTGTGAGAGGATTTAGAAGGAGACTGCATCTGCATAATGCTATTGTAATTCTCACATATCTTTCTGTAAAAATACTACAACAACAACACTGGCAAACTGGAGTTCTTTAAGATGTAAAGCAGTACAGATGTTACCGAAAGACAAAGAAGTCATAAGCAGACAATTAATAAACTGGGTGCAGTTTGTTTTGTGTGTAAATGCATCAGGAAAATATGAGGCCTATCCTTCCCCACATTGATAGTTTGTGCTGTAACTTTGGAACGTTATTTCCACTGACACTGGTGTTACACAACATGGGTCGGTGCAATCAGTCAAGTGCAATCAGGGTATAAATCTTGGGTTTTAGTCATCCTATCGCAGTGCGCTGGGAAAATTTTGCCAGCACAAATTGTTCATCGGTATTTAAGCTGGTTAGTATGTCAGAACAAGAGATTAGATTGTTAAGTTTGGCTCCGGCTGTTTATTCTGGTTGATTGTGTTCCACAGCGGCCGTCAGCATTACAGCTAAACTGAACTGGTCAAAGGAAATCACCACGTACACTCATTTTGTTTAACACGCACTAGTCTCCAACTCACAACCATGTCAAAGAAAAGGAATAAAAACTGAGATGTGTTCCTGTACAGGGTACAGTATGCTGGCCCCTGCAGGGGACACACAATAAATCACATTTGGCAAAGGTAGCCATGATAATAACATTCCTCGTCCTTTCCTCTTGGAAACATTGTCCAGACACCCTTCTCCAGGTATACTGAGGAAGTGTAGTAACGATGTCATCTATTACTGGTAAGTGTTGGAGGACAACTGGATGTGAGCATATGGTTTGGTTTTATTGAGTTATCTGTAGCATGGTCGGTTAATCAAACTCATGCATCCTGATATATATTTATACTGTCATTCATGTAACCGAAATATTCCACCCAGCGGTCTGACCTGCTTGGGTGGAAACAAAATGCCAAGAGTCCAAGAGACTTGATTTTGGTAACACAACTCAACTAACGTACAAAAAAATAAATCCACACACATTTACCAAGTACATCTTACACTAAAAATGCCTCAAAAAGTCATTTTGACACAATTTAAGTATCAAAACTGTTTTTTCACCCTGTTCACATGGAAATATGTCAAATGACTCTTTGTGGATTATGGGGACCGTGAGTAGCTAGCCAGAGGAGAAACCCCATCACAACCAATGTATGTTTGGGTTTTTGCCAGCTAAAACATTTGCATTTATTAAGAGTGTGTCAGAGATATCATTCATTGATTCAGCTCCTATTCTTCTCCGTATCAAACAATGTGAATGAACAAAGTGTTTTCAAGTTACTGTTAAGTGTCATTGTTTGTGTTTTGAGCAGATTCTGAAAGGCATTGTGTTTTCTTCTGAAATTAAACTTCTATGTTGCATTAATTAGTTCAGCTATGATCCGAAAACTATTAATTAACATCTCATTTACATTTACATTACCACACTAATCTCTCATTATTTTTATATCTGTACCTTTGTCTGTCCTTAAGCTTTCTTTTGGTTGTTGTTGTTTTCATTATGTCTCCTTAGTGTTAAATTCCTTATTCTATTTGTCTACTATTGTACTTTTTATGTAATTACATGAAAAAAGTACAATGTTGATATAAGTGTACTTTGTATGGCACTTTGCTCAGTTAAAGCTGTTTAAATGTGATTATAGATACATTTTACTTACTTACTTACTTTACTTACTTTATATCCTAAACATTAAATTCAGAAATATATACCAGTTCATTGCAATTTTCTGTGGCAGTGGTAAAAACTATATATCAGTAGGAATTGTGAGCACATATTGTACTGAAAAACAAAGGGAAATTTAAAGCCACTGCAAATGATATGATGAGTCACAATGACGCTAGCTGTTTAACTTGGTTATAGATTAACAAAGACCTTTAGGTGCTATTTTTTTTAGGGGATTTGAAACATAAACCAGAACTAAGAGTGTCACGACCTGTGGTTTGTACATAAACCTTGTCTTACTGTTTGTGTTCCTGTATAAACTTCTGCATTTTAGACATTATACAGTGCGTTCCTGCTGTCATAACCTCTTTGCATATTGCAAAACAAACCTGTTGAATATGTTCTGACACACCGGGCTAGAAAGACATCACGGGGTAGATGAAAACCAAATGCAGCTGCTTGTGGAGAACCTGTGTGTGTGTGTGTGTGTGTGTGTGTAGGTGTGTGTGTGTGTGTGTGTGTCAGTGACTCCATGCCTCTGGGGTTGTGTACATGTGCAAATGTGAGGAGAGAGGACAGACTATGTTTCTGGAGGCTGTAAAGCAGTGAGATGGCTGCTCTCTCTCACGTCTTTCCTCTGCCTCTCCATGTTTTGCTACCCCTCAAAAAATATTCTTTGATGGTGCTCTTTCGACACCGTGAAGCTTGGATGGGCAAACTGCACCGTTTCAATTACAGCACGCCTTCCAAAGACCCATGACTTACTCGCTCTAAACAAAGCCCACCAAAGCAGCAGTGGCCCGAGGATGTCTTAGAAAAAGCTGGGTTGGATCGACAAAATGGTTCAGAAGCATGCAACTCTTATACAAGACCTTTATTACATTGGAAAAAAACACAGTGAGGTATAATGATTTTCTGTGTTTGTTTTTGTATCTGGAACAGAGGCATTAAAGCCGTGGATGTGCAGGAAGAATGCACATAGAGTTAACATCTACAGTATATTAAGCACTGCTCTGGGCAAAATTATTTTAATGCTCATTCTTCTTTTTTGAGAAATTGAGAGCCCATAAAAACCTGCATAAGCACACAGTTCAAATACAGACCTTTTTTTAATGGAATTTTTAAATGAAAAATGAAAAATCTAGTAGATATTTTTTTCAGCTGTTAGGTCACTGTATGGACTGTAAATGTAAATAAATTTAAAATAACAAAAGCTCCAAAAAAATGCACCAAATGTTAACATTGACCTTTGTTTGTGTCCTTTTAGCATCTACCAAACATTTCACTTTCCACACTTGCGGTGTCTAAATTTAGCTGAGACATCTACAATTATGTGGTCGTATCCTAAATGGCAAATAGTGTCAAATTGCTTGGCGGGATCATCACTAGAAAACTATGAAATTTATTCTGTTTTTAACTACATTCAGTGGAACTTCTTGGAACTGCTTTTCAACATAGGAAAATATGAACTTCCTGCTATGCACACATGCAAAATCCAAGCTTGCGCCACGCATACACATGCTCCTTGTTGAGTCCACTCTGTTTACTGTTACCATATGATGGATTAAGATTTGTTTATGAGTTAGTGCAGCATAACATTTGCCATATCCTGTTTGCTTCTTGCAACAGTGGCCAGTTCTCACCACTAATGACGTGAAACATGCAGTTCAAATACCCGTGTCGTTATAAGTTTCTGTGTGTGTGGTAACAGAGAAGAGAAATTTATGAAATATGAGTTTAAATGTTTTTGTGCTTCACAAAGAGCAAAAAAAAAAAAAAAGAAATTCGCTTTAATTCACTCACAATAGCAGAAGAGCCATAGTAAGGTTTTCTCAGTCTCATCTCTCCAAGTGCTCCCTGAGCTCATCAGGCGAGATCAGGAAACACAACCAAACCAGTCAGTCCCTGTTAGTCAAACTTGAAAGAATGTCTTTATTGGGCAGCGGGATGGCATTGCGTCAGCAGTGTGATAAGCTGTGCCTGCTAACCGTTCAGGAATCCATGGATAAAAAAAAATGCTTATCAGGGCTGTAAGTCTGGGTGTGTGCATCTATGCATGTGTGTTACTTACAGGACAATTCTGGTTTATTTCAAAAAGTGGCTGTTGTGTACATAGCATTGTGTCCAGGATTTCTACCTGTATTCCACCACTGGTCTCAGTTTAATTTATTTGTGTATAGTTCCTCCATTGCTGTGTGTTTACCACTTCTGCCTGACCTTCTCCTGCTGTGTTTGTCCAGCTTTCTGCAAACCTTTGTGATCTGCTGGGATCACACAC